TAAAAAAATATGAAAAATCATTACAATATTTTGAGAATCTCTTAGAAAATCCTGGAGAAGAGAACCTAGCTTATATTCATAATCGAGTTGGTATTGCTCAGAGAAACGAGGGTAAAAATGATATCGCATTAAAGCACTTTAAGCAAGCATACAATCTAACTGTTAATGTTAAGCCATTAAACAAAGGGTTCTTCGCTAGCATACTTCATAATATAGGGAAATATCATCATGCACAAAGGAATTTTGACCAAGCTATAGATCACTATCAAGAAGCACTACGAAATATAGAAAACGAACCAGACGATATGGAACATTTGAAGGCAGAACTTTACAGTAGCTTAGGACGAACTTATTTAGCTAAAAAGGAGTGTGAGAAAGCACTAAGCAATCAAGAAAAAGCTTTGAAAATAAGACTATCACGTTTACCTCCTTGTCATTATCTTCTCGCTTTCAGTTATACTGATTTTGCTAAAATTTTCTTGTTTAAAAAAAATTATGATCAAGCTCTTGAGTATAATCTTTAAGCATTAGAATTTCGAGAAAATTATTTGCTACCTGATCATCCTACTACTGCTTTGAGTCTGCATTATGTTGGTAAAATGTATTACAAAATAGGTGATTTAGAAAAAGCTCGTGACTATTATCTAAAATCAATTGAAATGATAAAAAAGTGTCTACCTCCTTCTCAACAACATATTGCTCCTAAAATTCTTGAAGATATCGCATTGACCTACGGCTACAAGTCCGAAACTGCATTGAATTATCGACTCGAAGCACTAAAAGTTCAAAAACAATTGACATCTATTAACTATTCATATTTGGCTCGTATTCATGACAACATTGCTCGTACATACAAATCGATGGGTAAAAAAGATGATTCACTTCAATATCATAAACAAGCTTTGCAAATTCGAAAAAGACAATCTGTCCAAGGATGCATTCAGTTTAGTTAAAAACTTTAATAATTTAGCTTCTCTATATGAAGAAATGAACGATGTGCGATCTGCACTTACATATTATCGCGAAGCACTAAAGATTTATAGACATCATCCTTCTTACCATCGTCAACTTCATAACAAGACCAGAAATAACATTAAACGACTTAGCAACAATGGATAACATTTATAACAACATAGAGCGTTATCGAGTTTTATTTGCAAAATCTAAGCCTTTTTTCATTCAAATAAATCTGATCCAATCCTATCAGAAAAAAAGAACTTCGAAGACTGAATTCATGACAATATTTTATCCTTGAGAAAGAGGAATGTGGGTATGAATCAATTATTCACTCACAATAGCTCTCACACACACTCTACACCCACACCTATAATCTATTTGAGTTTGAATACATTGAACTTATTGATAAAGATTTGGACCCATCTGATTACTATAAAAGACAAAGTCGATTCAATTCTTCATTTTCGATAAAACGAACATAAATCTTTAGAATTTCTATTAACACAAACTTTTGGGACCATTTCCTTTTGATGTATGTATTTCATTTGTCCATGCAGGTTTGTCGAAGCAATCAACCATTTTTATAAAACATATTTTTGTTTGTATTCGTTTTTATAGGCGATTACGAAGCAACTCTCTTTAGGATAGAGAAAACGATGTAAGGTTCAACGATGACATCGATGAAAATATAAAACAAAATAGGATGCTCGCCAATCAACAAGACTATGTTGGGCGTGGCTGGGTGTAGATGTGAGATCCACACTCACATCCTGACCTACATTCCTGATATAGTATGTGCACACCAATTTTGAGACCTCTAACTCTTATGGTGGTTGAGGTTCGAGGGGGAAAAGACTTTTGTTCAGGAGTGTAAGTTGATAAAAGAAATAGTCTGCGTATAGTTATCGATTTATCAACAATGGGCTTCCTTAGGATTCAACTTGATTTTTGAAAATCTAGTTTTAGCGTAAGACAGACAAACCATAGACGTATTCATTTCAACATTTAAACTTTAGAAAATAACACTTGAGGTCATGTCCGTCTGATTGTTCACTGTACGCTAGAGGTGATCAATTTACATTTTAAAAAATTTATTAAAGCCAGAAATAAATTTTTAAAAACCGTAAATTTATTTTACATAAAAATTTAAATTTAAACTGGAAATAAATTAACAGGAAAATGTCATTCCTAGATAGCGCCAACAGCTTTATGTCTGACAAGGAATCGAAGTTCTATACATTTCAATGAAAATAACGAATTGAAGAGCTGTGATTTGACTCCGTTACACTAATGTCATACATGCGACGAAAAATGTCATATGAAGATTTGATCTTGGCAAATCAGATGACGCAAGTTTTACATCAAAAAATCTTTCTGCAACGATCTCTTGTCGTTTCTTTTGGAAAGACGAAATAAGGAACCAAAAATATGTGAAGTGACGAAGTTACACGATTTGGACGTGGAATGTAGTTACTGGTGTGGACACAGAATGGCGAATTTGAGTCTTCTGTTCATTCACACCCACATCTTTCAAACTGTTCGTCTGCGATATGTGACGATGAAACACAATGACAACAGTACATTTTTTTTCAAAACGTTTACGTAAGCAAACTTTGATGCATATAATATGACATGACGTGAGTAAATATTGACGCATAGCGATTCTCTCTCTCCCCCTCTCTCAATTATGAATAAGCGAAGCGTATGACGTTTACACTTGAAAATATGCTCCATGTATAAAAACGATATTGCCTTGACTGTACGACCTCATGTCAATTCATTTTGATGTTTCCGAGTTAAAAACTAATGAGAGCAAGACTGTTTTGGACCTCTCAGGTATCTGAGATTTTTTACAAAATCAAGTAACGTATGATTTTTTGAGTGTATTCTGCGTATCAGATTCGTGACTTTTGACATTGAAACTTGTGAAACCTTGGAGACACTGAAGATCATAAAACAAACGAAGCAAAATTGAAGTCGAGAAAGAAATGACGCATTAACAACAGAAGTGAGATTACTTCGAATGCTACTATACAGCTGTTGTCTATCCATTTTATTGTATGAGTTACTTTCGAAATCATCGACCGTGTATTTTGTTTGGAGTTTTTTGATCAATTTGATACATAAGAAAAAAAAATAGTTATTTATCAAGTGTAAGATAGTTTTCATGATTGCAAAGGTCGTTCGAGATGAATCATAATAAGTTTACATCAATGCGAAACTTCGTCTATGTAAATATCTAGTCATTCTATTTGATACTGCTGTTGACTATTCATAGACCCGTATAATTTTATCGAGAATGCAAAAATCTGATGAAAAACATCTCCGACGTAGTTTTACTTCTCGTTTCTTTTGAAAACATTATCGGACGTATTTTTTTTTCTTTCTTCATTCTCTTCTACGACTTTTTCTCTTTCTTTAACTTGCCTTGTTTATGTTCGCTTATTCTCCTCTGTTTTTATTCTGAAGGTAATAGTGAAAAAAAAGCTTACTGACAGTACCTCTGATAGAATAAAATATGCCTGACTCCTCAAAGGAAAAATAATTTTCTATGTAGTATTGATACAAACAAACTTTCTCCATAGAGGCAGCCACAAATTGAAATTTATTCTCAATTTTTCTTCGTTTCACGCTTTAGAGCTATTTATAAATTTAATGCAGTTCAATCAACGATAGTCATAAGGCTGTTTTATATAGAGTCTCAGATTCAAATTCATAATACTGATTTTTCTGAATTGCCAATGTAGAAAACTTTTGAAGGAACTATTGAATTAATCAACCGTGATGAGAGTTTTTTTTTCGACTATTCAAATCATCGTTTAGACATTTTTGCGCTATAATCACGAAGAAGAAAACTCGAAATTAACACTTCTCTCAACTTTTTTTTACCATTTGAGTTTCTGTTACGGTTAGAATAAGTGAATCTTTGGATAAGCAAATAGCTTTGCTGGTGGATGTGCTCAATTCACGTCGTCTACTTTGACTAAAATATCATCAATTTGAGTTATTAATGCCCATGGTTCAAAAAAGCATCTAACATTATATTGATTGTGTAATTTTACAAACTTTATGGGAATTTTTATGAACAATTATGTATTAATCGATGTACCTGAGGTAAAATTCGCAACTTATTTAATTTTGTATCAAATTCGTGACTCTTTATGTTGAAATCTTGATTTACTTGTAACGATATAGATGTATAGAGCACGTGCTTCCTTTCATAAGAATTAGGACAGTGTCAAAATAGTCGATTCTATAGCAGAAACATACCGTGTTTTCATACATTTCTCTTCATCGGGAGGAAAAGAAAAAAACCTGGATTCATTTCGTCAACTTTTCGCCTTTCTTTGCTTCGACGATCTTACCATGTCGGCTAACTGCACAACTCATCGGTATAAAAACTGTTGCGTCCACAAAGAAAGCATGTGGAGATATGAATGAAGTCTTTATTTCTTTTTCGAGACAGGAAGAAATATGCTAAAAATGGAGATTATTGCCATGTTTGAATGTAGTATTGCCAAAGAGTGTCTTAGGTCTTTTGAAGGATTCTTTATTTTAGAAGTCTACATCGTTATAACAATATCAAGATTTCAACATGCATAATCATGATTAGAGGTGTTACTTTCGTTTCCGTTTCGTTCCTAAGAACGGAAACATGGGTTCAGTTCTTGTCCTAGAAACTCGATTTGCTTTTTCAGTTATTTCTTTTCTGTCAGTTATGTTGCTACTATTTTTTCTTTCACGATTAATTACATCGCACCTTGCTCAAGAGGGAACGAACGGACAGAGAGCACTGAAGCAAAAAAAAAGTAGCGAAAAAAATGATTACAACGAGAGAATAAAGCAAGAATAAGAAAAGAGTGTGCATGTGTGAGCGAAAAGAAGAGTCTCATAATTGCCCACCTACATGCTGACTCCTGCTGACTACTTTTAACGCTTATTTACTGTTTTTACGTCAGCAATGTCAAAAATAACTTGTCTTTCATTGACTCTATTCCTTGTTTTTTTGATCAACTTTTTTTTAGATAAATTTTCAAACTTAAATGGGCTCCAACAATAGTGTTAATATCGCTATTAATCTTGATCGAATGAATCCATTCTTTTATGCAGGTGAATCGGTATCGGGAACAGTTAATGTAAATATCAAGGAAGGACACATCAAAGTCGACGAATTATTTATTGAGTTGAAAGGTGAAACCGGTTATACGACAACCCATACTATTCATGAGTCAAATGGCTCAACACGTACGGAGACGCATTACCATACAATAACCTTTTTCTTGGAAAAAATGATCTTTGAAAGTTCACAATCAGGAAAAAAAGAATTAGTTTATCATTCCGGGCAGTATTCATGGCGATTCGACATTCAATTACCACCTCAACTTCCACCGACAATCAATGAATCACACAGATATCCACGTGCTCGATATTACTTAAGATTTGTTATCGATAAACCTTGGTACAAACGAAACAAAAACGAAACACTCTATTTGACAGTGTTTCCACGTGTCAATCTATTGAACAATCCACAATGTTTGATGTCATCTATTTTTGGTAATCATAATCGTAAAGATGTTACTCTGAAAGGCAATATAAATAAACTAGGTTATGTACCTGGTGAGATGATTACGGGAACCTTAGAAATTGAAAATCCACGAAAAATTTTATTGAAACAAATTTATTTATCTTTGATTCAATATTATCAAATTGAATGCAATGCAGGAAAAGAAACAGTCATTCAAACAATTCTGCCTACAATTGTTAATACAAAAGAGGAATATATAATGGAAAAATTTTCCCTAGCCATTCCTCTTACATATTTGGCTCCATCATATGAGTTTCATAGCGGTTTTAAACATACGGCTAAGGTGCATGTCAATTATTTTCTAGAATTCGATGTTAAAGCTGAAGGCATGTTTACAAATTTCGGTGTTAGTATACCCATTACATTAGCGACTGAATACAATACAAATCCGAATGAGCATCAATTGAATCATGCAACCAATTTATTACCTAATTCTATTTCTTACTATCCGGAAGCAATCATGCATGACAAATATCCTTCATCGAATTTTTAATCTGTCTCATAATAAACTATGTGAACTCTAATACATATAATAATAGTTGACATTCTCATCTCTACTATGATTTAATTAATTAATATATAGCTGTTTTCAAAATCCATACCCGACATACAGCCATAGTGAACTTTGTTAGAAATTGAACTTGAACAAAGAATTGTAGTTTTTATTATATGAAAGGAAAAAAACTAATCTCATAGATTGCTCTTAATATTCAATTAAATCACATAGACGGGTTTAAACCAAACTATTTTTCAGTATCCGTTGGAAAAAATTAAGTAAATTCTATAAAAGAAGTGAACATCAGACTATTATCAAATAATCAAAAATATTAAAAAAAAAAGAATTTTATTCTTATATTATGACTTAAGAAAAGATCGACAGATGTTTTTATCAAACTTTTTTTTGCAATCACAAAAAACGAATAAAAGATTTTTAACGCTTTATCTTTCATGATTAATCTAAATTCATGTTAGAAGAAACACCGTTTAATTCAGTTCAACAACAATTAATATATAGATAATTTCAATCTATGTTTAAATTCAAATAAACCTCATTTGCAATAATCAACCTCCAAAATCATCTATTCCGCTTCAAATATCAACAAAGTATGAACTCAATGACACATTTCTTTCGTGTCGAACTCCATTTTTTTGAATATACTAAAGCGATTACTAGTTTCGGAAACGATTAACATTATATTCGTTTTAACATAAAATCAAAATATAATGAAAAACAATCTGTCGATACATTCTCTAGTAAAATTCATAGGAAATACTGCTATATTCTCTTTCTAGTTTGACTTATAAAAAATGTTTAATCTAAAGTGAATAATCTTGAGAAAACAAAAACTCTGAAAGCTGCTGATACGATCTAAATAAATTAGAAAATATGTGATATCATTGTGAGTAGTTGTGAATGTGAATTTGGTCTGTAGCCATAGCCACACATACTAGGCCCATTTCATCGTAAAAATTGATCAATTAGTCGTCCTCAGTGAACATTTGGATCAAATGAAAGTGGATATCGACAAACGGACTTTCAAATGCTATATCCTTCATTAGAATCTTGAGGATATCATATAGAGCTCATTGGGTACAAAAAAAATTAAACCAAGATTCAGTATATTGAATATTTCTCAAACTCGGAGCCGATTCATACTTATAATATGCTGAGTAAAATGTTTTAATTCGTCTTGACAATCGTTTCAAAGATATAAGATACATTTTTCGGCCATTTATATTCAACAACTAACACGCGGTACACATTTCTCAAGGCATCTTGTCGGTGATCGTATTAGAATATAAACATAATTCTTTAATCATGATTATTCTTGTTATTAACAGATGACAGTGGAAACAAAATGGACTGATAACTACTTAAAACTGCAAAAAAAAAGTAAAGAAATGTTCAATGGTTAACTTCGTTTGGTTTTCTTGATTATATTTATAAATATTGATCACATTCTTCTAAATGAATTTCAGTCATAAATTGATCATCTTGAAAAAGTGAAAGTTGAACTTTTCTTATTTCTTTCACTTCAAACACAGAATATGGTATAATCAAAATTTCACCTTCGTTCGCATATTGAGATGAATTTTCAATATGTAGACCAGTGCGTCTATGTTTGATTGTATATCTACACATAATCCATGATTTTATCAATGCCCCATCAATTTTCGTGCGTTTCATTACCTCAGCTTCTGATTGTGCTGATTCCTGTTGACATGACAATAATTCGGCAACTTTTCGATCGATTGATGACGATACAAATGATTTTGTCATTAATGAACAACCAACTTCATATTTTTTTAAGTCATCATTATTTATTCGTATCACTCGATAAGCAGTGCCGATAAATGTGAATTGTTCTAAACGTAAATCATGTGAAATTAATGCTATTATATATCTTCGTTCACTTTGATATTGACTAGCACCAGCTGCTATTTCATTATTTAAAATTCTATAGAAATCTGTTTCAGCTGTATAAGCTTTAATTAACCATAAAATATTTTGCTCTACAGTAGCTTTTCGAAAATAACGTCTGATTTTTTCAATACCATTAATATTAGTTAGTCCTTTATTGATATAATTTTTTTCAATTTTTTCGAACATTTTATCTATAGGAGTAGTGCCTGTGGTATTGTCATATAGTGATTTAATTATGTGTCGCTCTTCTTTCGCTTTTTCCATAATATCATCATCAATTAATGTCCATTCAATAGCACCAGTATCCGATACAAGTCGATTACTATTTGGTATGCGAAGAAAAATTTCTTTGATATTATCATTCAATGCTTCATCATATGGTAAACATTGATACTTATTCAATATTGCTCTATCAGCTCCTTCTTTCAATAACAATTTAACAATTCTAGAATGACCATAATAACATGCAACATGCAATGATGTACTACCGTTTGGTTCCAAACGATCTACATCATCAAGTGTCATTGTTCGTAGTAACTGTCGAACTTTCTTAGAGTCATTGTCACGACATGCTAAATAAAAATCACTATAATCATTCAATGAATCTGCTATTTGTGTTGTCGTCGTAGATATCACAAGTGGATCAACTTCTTGTGTAATACGATTAATTGTTGTTAATTTATCAATAGAAAGATGATTCGGATGATTGCTTTGGAAACGAGAATTAGTGTGTCTTTTTTCACAACGATGAAATACTTGGTTTTTTTCACGACGACGAAATACGTATTTTTTTAATGATTTCAATATGTTTCTCATATTTTGATGAAAAATTATTCAACGTTTAGTACTATCAATCAACAAAATAAATATAAAAAGAATTCAATAGTTGATTCTAATTGAAGAAATTTTTTTTTCCTACAGGAAGGTAATTTCTTTTTACTTACGCATGACGAAAGATCGTACTTGGAAAAAAAATTGAATCTACCTGTATCACGTCAGTATGACGTTTCGTTATTATTTTACAAAGACAACGCGTCATCAAAACTAAAGAGGAAGAGAATGCATGGTTGATGTCACATTCGTAAACAAATGTGATGAATCTTATAGTTTCACCTATTGACATTATGATTAACCTTTCATGATAAGATTTTCTTTAATGAAAAAATTGTTTGTATTTAATATAAAAAAAAACTCTTGTTAGAGTCTCTATAAAGCTTGTAAGTGTGGAAGTCGCATCACCTACGGAATATCCCTGATTCGTCCTTCATTGACTCGTTTCTCCTTAATTGTCAGTGTGCGCGCGATTGTGATTGTGGATGGATGGATGAAGAGAAGATCCATGCTTACACATAAACTGTTACTCCTATAAGACTATTGTTGCTTGACTACAGACTTCATTTTCTCATTTACTTTTTTGTTTTGAATGGTAATATTTTTCATTTAGCAAATTAGATTATTGTCATGTTTATAGTCATAATTTTCATAATTGTATCTAATTTCTATTGTTGTTCCTTCGTATTTGTAATATTTTCTCATAAACAGAGTTATATATAATAAAAAACGAAATGGTCACATTTGATGATCGTATTTCCGTTGTCTCTGTTGATGAATTGGGTCATCGTTATTCTTTCTCTCGAACAATATGAGTATTAATTGTCTTTGATAACATAGTGAAGAAAAACCAAATGATATCAACAATCTACTTACGCTCAAATCAAGTCTTTAATGTTGCATGCTTATTTTGGTTTGATTCATACTTAAGCGTATTGCATATAAATTATTGGGTGAAAATCAGTGGATTTTTTCCAACTGACGCTTTTTCTCAAGCGTTATTTTTTCTCGTAACGCTTATTTTCATCTTTTTTTCTTTATTACCGACATCACATGATGAGCAATCGTAGGCTTCAACTATCAGACAAAATTACATAGTAGTGTGAAGCACAGAAAGATAGGGAAGTAATAACAGTGATCAGGAGTAAGGTTATAAAAAAACCTATTAAAAGTCTTTCAATTTTTCTAACTGATAACTAGACGAATTCGTCATGTCATGTTGATCCTCTAAGGAATCTAATGTACCTCGTGCCATTCAATGTGAACAATTATCAATATAATTTTATTTCTTTGATTCATTTATTTCACATTTTCTTCACATGAATCAATAGATAAGTAGGGTGTGGGTGTGTATAAATAGTATTTTATGTGCTTGAGTTATTTTATTTGGAAATTAAAATAATGATACAATTGATGTTTTGTTGATTTTGATCATTCTTCTTTATTGAGGAAAGAATTTTTTCGATGTAATAACATGTTATCATTTTTTTTTTAAATTTTCTTGTTTCATTTTCACATCACGCTTGCAAATGTTAATCGAAACTCATTGATCTACAAACTTTTGATGATTTTACAGTTGAAGATGTTGTTGATAGATTATCAATTGTGAATTGATTTGAGGTAGATCTAGATTAAAATAGTGCTGGTTCGATATTTCGAATATCATCAATATATGATTGCTGTAAAGAAAATGCAATATATCGTTGAGCTGGATGTAGTTTATATCCATTGTTGTTAGACATAGCGTAGATGATAAATGATGGTGTGTAGAAAATTGTTGCTCGCATGAATTTACTGTGTGTTTTTCTGAAAAACCAATCGATATGAAATAATTATTCAATACTTGAAATTATGACATGATCAAATTGATCTAACAGGAATTTTTGGAAATTGATAAGTACATTTCTTTGTTAAGGTACATACGGTTTTCAAGTTATTATTATGATATTGATCCGAAACTTTGTGTACATATTGAGGTTGCTTCGTTATATACAGAAAAAAAGTTCCAGCATCATACTTTATTGTCTGTCAGAGTTGTAAAAAAAGTAGAATCCATTTTCAGACCTTTGAAATCTCCAACGTCATTTGACTATTTCAAGAGAGAAATTCAATTTTCTTTTTTTATTTGAAAGAAAATACTTGGTGTTGGTGACAAATTCTATGAAAAAAACAGTCGAATTTTGATAATGAAAACCATTTTCTTCTTCGATTAAAACCTATTTCGAAAACAAAGATCGCGGTAGTTAATAGACATAAGAGTCAGTTTCAAAATAAAAACTAAACCTATCTCTAACTCTCGAAATGGTTGAATATTGCTTCGATTAGAGATAGACGGCATTGTCCGGCACTCGTCTATCTCTGGCTCTAAGAGACTACAAGAAATGATTCGGAAAATTTTTCGATATGTGATGATTGAGGTATTCAAATATATTCACAAAATTTCGATCTTACGGCAAAGATAGCCTTGAAAAATTTCAAATAGAATATGATAAATTAGTTTCTTCGTCAAATATTTAAAGTTTTAGATGATGTATCAATTGTAGGTATTAATTCTTGATTGGTTTATTTTGTTATGAACATATTATATGTTCACGTTTTTTTATTAGACATTTTCTTAGATTGAATAAATGAGAATTATAAATAATTGTATAAGCAAGATACCATCGATTACGTGCTATTTTTCTTTTCTTTTCTTTCTTATTTTCAATTGTAATATTTTTATTAGCATTATTTTGTTTTGTTAATATTTGTTCTGATAGTTGTGTATTTGAATGATTGGATAATAATGGAATTGATTCAATTATTGAATAAATACGATTAAAAATTCCTGTTTGAATTCTATTATTTGTTAAATCAATATCATCATTATTTATATCGTTTTCATAGTATAATAAAGATGAATCATTCGATTGTTCTAAAATATCTATTTGCGAATTATGTTGAGTCTCATTATATGACATTGTTTGTAAAGAATATAAATTATTTTTATATAAATTTTGAAGATTTGATAATAAAGGATTGATAGTTGTTGTTGTTTGACTAATAGAAACTTTTTCTTCTATTAGAATTGTATCTTGAGGATGTATCTTTGTAGATTTCTTAGTTTTTGTATTTTCAATAGTATCAGATATTTTTGGTATCATTTCATTAATGATATCATATGATGTTGAAGTTACATCTTGTTGATATTTAGATGATTGTGTAGTATCGAATGATGAAACTTTTTTTATTATTTGATTGTCTAGTATACGTACATAGATTGTTTAGATGAAATAATCATTTTAATAGTAATTAAGTAGAAGTTTTACCTTTATTAGATTGTTGTTTTGATGTATCATTATTTTTTGTTTTCAATTCTTGTTTATTCTTTTCAGTTTGTTTAGATAGATCATTGTCTTTATTTTCATTTATTCGATTGTTTATATTTATTTTTGATAATTGTGAAAGTGATTGTTGTTGTTGTTGAAGAGTAGATGAAATTAGTTGTGTTGAAGAATTATTATTTTTATCTATTTTAATTTCATTATTAGAAATAGTAAATTTTGAACTAACAGATGTCTAAAGAAAGAAATAAACCAATGATTATTTGATTTTATTCTTACTGTAGATAAATTTTGTAATTTTGTTTTGGGCATGTTTTTTGCTATTGAAAGACGCGATTTGTTATCAGTTGAATTATATTTAACTTTTGTCTCGTTCATCTCATGTATCAAGTAGGATGATGAATTACTATCATGTATGGATAATGACGTATTTGTTGAGTTGAAATTATATGTTTTATCATTAGTAAATTGTATTGATTCATGATTTTTATTTGTTAGTCTGTTTGTCTGTAAGGAAGATGTTTTCTTTTTCTGTGTCAATGGATTTTCTCTTTGTTTTTTAAATCTATTCTCAACATTAAAATCATTTCGAGTTCTTGAATATTCTTGATTACAATACTTTCTTGTTTGTCTATAAGTCATATCCAAAAGTAAATCACAAAAAGCTAAAAAAGAAAAAAATTTTTAAATAGAAAATAACTCTTGTTATTTTTTTTTTTGTGATGGACTAACCGAGCATGACTGGATGTGTATATTGTTTTTCGACATGTAAATATGAAGTATAAGCAGCAAAGCCAACATCTGAAATATAATATATGCGAAAATAGAAAGATAAAAACAGTTCAAATAGTGTCTAGTCTATCTATTCGAAACAAATTCATTTATTGCAAAAAACAAAATGAAAAAATCTGGATAGAAGATTAGTTAGTCGTACGGATACCTCCTCTACTTTTCCAGATATGGAACTCAAATTATTTTCAATTTTTTGTTTTTAATCGATATATATGTACATTGAAGTGGTCTCTATCGATTTGCAAAAAAGAACGATTCTCGAGATTCCCAATATCTTTAAAAAAAAACTCGACTCATTTTTACCGTATGATTATATCAGAGTTGCTTAGAAAATCGAAAATTTTCAACTTCAGATTTTATATTTTATATTCAAAACTGTTCGTAATCGCTGTTAAAAGAGTCAATATCTTCGAAATGGTTCATTCTCAGTTTTTAATTCTTTTGTTGACTATTTCATTTGTTTCCTTTCTTCCATTAGTTAATAAAAGATAAGAAGTATAGTCAACAAGACGTATATTATTCATACATGTCTGATTATGGGTTATCTCGCAAGCATTAAAAACGTTCTCTCTGAATGTAGAAAAAACTAGCTTATCAAACGCACAGTAGTCGAAAATCTAGATGAAAATACAATGTTCGTTTGCATTTTTCTCAAAATCAAAGCTTATACAAAAAAAAGTACTACTTTGTCCCTCTTTCTAACCATTCTTCAGAAACTCCGAAAAGAGAAACCCATAATTATTGATCATATTCTATTACATATATTACTTTCCTATCATTTAATTGAGTTTGTTATGGCATATTATTACTTATTCAAATACTGAAGTTCATTTATCTTTTATTTTAGTAGTTTCAAAGCTCTTCTTTAAAGATTGCTAAATTATATCTGTGTAACAGTAAAAATTGTGGATATTCACAGACATTTCGGGTTAACTAGGTACTATAAGTATTCATAGTTTTTACAAGTACTCTCAGTGTACATTAATACATAATTTCAATATTAAATAAAAAAAATATTTCTCTTTCTGAAATAGTATAATTAAATATTTTTACCGAATTTTTCCAATGGTCGTCCAAAAAAACTATAATCAAGTCGAGCCATATATACAATATTAAGAAATGTTGCTTTAATCAATCGAATAATACATGAAGCAATACCAAGAAAACAATCTTTATACAAAAGAAAATATAAATATTTCATTATTAAATTATTATCTTTGCAAAAAAATATACCAGCAAAAAAACTAAAATAAAGAAATATTGCATAAATTTTTCCACATTCTAATTTTCGTTTATTATCTAAATTTTGTATAAATAAAAATTTTCCTGCTGATCTCATACTAAGCATTTTTAATAAATAAATAACAAGAATAGGTACAATAATAGCAAGTACTAATTCAATATAACGAATTTGAAATGTAAGAATTCGTATTCCAATTAAAATTAAAAGTATTAAATGAAAACAAATAACAAAACCCCATGCCATATATCCAACAAGAAAACCAGAATAATGTACAGAATTTGATGCTATTGAACTCAGTTTGAACTTCTTTTCGGATGGAATTTCAGAATAAATACCTTTATTTAATTGTAATTTATGTTTTTTATATTTTTGCATTCCAATACATAATTGATATCCGTATAGAATTGCCGTGAAAATAGCACTTAATATTATTTCACGTTTTAAAGAAAATTTTTCATTTATTTCTAAATTATCAAAAATAAGAAAAAAAAAAGCCTAATTAATAAAATACTTTTATCTGAACATACAAACCACTTACCAACATTTGCTGAATATTCAATATAAGATCTTATAAATGAAATATGTCCTATTGATCGTGAAGTATAGAGAAAAACAAATGTACATGCTAAATAATAGAGAAATGTAAAAGCTACTGTATAGGTACATGTTGCTATTGTTGTAAAACGAAAACTATCATCCCAATAAACAAAGAAATTAAAAATTTTTCGTAGATGTGATTGATTAGTTACATTTTGTTGAGTAATTATTTGAGATAAAGAACGATTACGTCGTAATAATTTTGTAACATAATATTTTGAATATTCTAATTCATTAAATTCTACATTAGACACTAACCAAATACTTTGCTTTGTTTTTAATGATACATATATTGAATCATATACAAAACGCATACATAATTCTGCACTAATATATGCAAGAAAAAAGAAATGTGGAATATTCTTTATTAAACCATATATAATAAACCATGAACCAAGTTCCTAAAATTATGTTATTATTCATTCATAATATTTATTATATCGATCTAATTAGTATCTTTAGAGAAGATTAATAGAATGCGCACTTATGAGAAAGTTCACAAGAAATTATATTTATTCTATTTTACTTTATATCTAGTTCCTGAAGTGTCTTTTAGTTACTAAAGTAATACTAGGAAACGCCTCTAACTGTCAAATTATTTTTGAGTCGGAAGTAACGGGTGGTCCATAAAGAATCGGTCACTTTGCTTTTTTTTGGTTATATCTCGAATAAATCTTTATTGTTTGAACTTTATTTTTTTTTTAATTAAAAGATGCGTCGTGAAATTCTCTACAAAATAGCGTCATTTGTGTTTTGAATGCATTTTAGATATATCTGACTTGATACAATTCAACGATGGATGAAGATAATCGACAGAGCTGACTCTATCAACTATCAACATCATCAGGTCGACCATGAAGTGCGCTCGTTCAGACACAGCAATAAGAAAAGCCAAGTTGCAGTTAACAAAACGAAAATTGGCCCGTGAGCTAAACATCTCAGCTACAAGTGCGCATCGAATCTTGATAATTGATCTTGGCTGTTACTTTTACAAAATTATTAAAGAGCCGACCATAACATACAAACAAAAAGCCGATAAATGCGATGGTGTAAAAAAAAACCGAAAATTTCCACCAAAGGTAATGGTTTGGCTTGAAGCATGTTCGAAAGATAGTTCTCCTAATAGCTAAGAAATATGGAAACAAAATGTTCGGTGATAACTGGACATTTCAACAGGACAATGCAACATCACATACCCATCATTTAACACAAAAATGGTGCAGTAATAAAAAGAATTTACCGTCATTTATTAATAAAGAACGTTGACCTGTCAATAGTCCAGATTTTAATCCTTTGAACTATTGCATATGGAACGAGCTCATTCGAACAATGGACTGGAGTAAAAATCCAAACAAAATTGACATTAATAACTGAATTAAAAAGAGTTGGAACAAAAGTTTCAACAGACGTCTTTGTGCAAAATGTAGAGGATTTTAGCAAACGAATGTATCGTGTATTGCAAAATGATAATGACTATTTATGTTAAATAAAATAGTCTCATTTTGTAGAGCGTTTCATGATGACGCATCTTATCATAAAAAATAAAATTCAAATAATAAAGATTTATTCGAGATATAAGCAACCCTCAAAGTAATTTGACACTTAGAGATGCGTCCCCTCGTTAATGGCAAAAGTATACGCAGTTTTGTTTCGAGATTTAAAGGCTAAGCATTGGTACTTGTGTATGTATGCCGGATTTGACAAAAGTTTTGCAATATTTTCTCTTTTAGAAATATCTAAGCGTCTTGTTCGAAGATGCCGCATTGAATTCTCTACAAATTCCTATTGGTCTTAATTGAAGGTCTCTTCCCTTAAAAAAAAATCAATTTTCGTCAAAACACAAAATGAAAATTAAGATAAATTCATGGGAAAATAGTCCGTATTCTGCTCTTTCAGAAATAACACAATTTTTTATTTAGTGCTCAAATTTTCAATGATTTGCGTTATCTCATACTTAAAAAATAGCAGCTTTTCAGAAAAAAACAAAAATATTTTTCGTTTTTTCTCTGTTTATGCTTTTTATTTTGATTATGCATTCCAGATTTTTCTGTAAGCCTTCACTGTATACGTTTACTTGCTTTTTGTTTGAAAGATACTCACACCTACATTCTTTTTACAATATTTTAATTAAAATAATTATTTCTTTTTTGATAGTTATATGCAAATTAAATAAATTTTTCTTGTCTGTAAGAAATTAATAATTTACATACCACCCGAAGTTTTGTTTCTTCTAAAACTGTATATTGTCCTGATAATGGTAGAAAACCCATACATGAACCTTCTCGTACAATTGTATATACAATATCACAGAGTACATATATAAAAGTAAGAAAACGAACAATAATATGTCGTAATTGTAGAGAAGCAACCACTGGATAATATCGAAGTCTAAATAATTTTGAGAAAAATAAATCATAAATTTGATTTATTTCTAAAGAAAATATACCCAAGAATAATGCTAGTTAGTATTCTTATAAATAATTCAATGAGTACACCATGATTTAATGTTTGATGTAAACCAAAAAGTAGTTCTTCAAATATTTTTAATACAGCATAAACAATAATTCCAAAAACAGCTGCTGTTATAAAACGATTTCTTGTACCAAATGGTATAATTGGTGGTAATAAACCTAAATAGAAATTTTCTTAATAAAAAAAAAATTCAAATATATATTTTACCAGGTCGACCATCACATGTATGTAAACATTTTTTTTCTCGTTTAATTGACCAAGAAAAAGTAAATATTAAAGTTAATGCAAAAGGAAAGAATATTATATTTTCTTTTCGATAATCTGATATCTTTTCACATTGTCGTATTAAATGTATAGTATCATTCATTGAAGTTTCTAAATTTTCATCATTAATTTTATCAATTTTAAATAATTTATAATATCTTAATGTTATCAAAATTAATAAGCTTGATAAAATGAATATACTTAAAAGAGTAACCCATATATTTCGAATAGAAATCATTGTTGATTTTGAATTTCGTTCATAGTGTTGATTTCTTGCTTGATTTTTATTATCATCCTTTCGTTCCAGTGATTCTCTGTGTTTGTTAGAACGTCTATTACAAAAACAGTGAGATTTGACTCGTAGCATAAATGTAAACATATTACAAAATTCATTCTTAGATTTCTGTAAACTATTTGTTTATGTTAGTTTTCGAAAAGTTTGATAATCGTATGTGTTGTTAATACGAAAGCTAATACTTCACCTATTTAATTTTCTAAATCTCAACATTATTCTCTCAATAGCATATGCACAAAATATCTTAACTATATTTAAATAGATCTAAAGAGATAGGGAACAAACTAAGCTACGGATCCATGACTCCATAATGCGAATTAATAGAAGATCTTTTTTTGAAATCGTAAGAGTATTGTCAACAGGTGTTACAAATGCTGCTCATTGATTGTAAAAAGATAATAACTGTTCAGTAGTTATCGTTTGTTATTAATATTCATCTATATAAGAATTTGAAACATTATTCTATTTTCATAACAGTAGTACTTTTTTTAAATGAACATCATTGTTCATGTTTATATTTAAAATAATAAATAAAATTTATTTTTCATTTGATAAGAGAATATATGTAATTAAATGAAATACCTTAATAAGCGTTGAATCGGTATGAATGATATTCCATAAAGAATTATAATAATTCCAACACTAATAAGAATTTGTTGACCTTGTTGTGAAACTAAGAAAAGAATAATTCAATTATTTTTCGAAAAGCCATTCTTCTTTTCATTGTTCATTATTTCTGATTTACTTCAAAGACCAAAAACAGACACTATACTTTTAACAATAAAAAACAAGATTTTGAAAAGTTCTATTCTTCTATTTTTCATTAGAACAGATTAAATAACGATTAAGAAATAATGTTCTAATCCTCTTGAGTTAAACCTTTCCAGGCAATAGAAAACCTTTCAGATTTTTTAGCTTTCTAGCTCAAAACTCCGAAAACTAGGCATCTTTGGATGTCAATATGCTAATTAAAGTTCCAATTTCACAAGAATTTAATCGATTACTGAAAAACCTTCATTACGTCCGGTTCATCGTTTTTTGAAAGAGGTTCTTCTAATAGTGTGAGCCATTCTTTTACAGGAAGGAGTTCATCTGACAAAACAAATCTCGATACCACGAAAGAAATTTTCCTATGGCATTCTTTATAAGCCAGTTATCTTGTCAAGAAGTTAACTACGTGATATCCCTACTTATGATGTTTGTAAAGAAAGTTGACATCATTAAAAATTGATCAATATAACAAACCACAATAGTAGAAGTCCTCTCAGAAATATTGCAATGAAAAGCTCAGTTTTTCGTTCTAATTAAAAGAAGCTTTCCTGGTATTGTTCTCTCTGTAGTCTTTTGTGAAACACGATCTGAAAGGAGTGTTGAAGTGTATAGGGTAGAAATTTTGGACCCCCCCCCCCCCCCACAGACCGTGACAGAGAAAATCCATACCCATCACAGACCGTGACAGAGAACCCGGGTACCCATCACAGACCGTGACAGAGAACCCGGATACCCATCACAGACCGTGACCGAGAACCCTGGGTACCCATCACAGACCGTGACAGAGAATCCGGGTATCCATCATAGACCGTGACAGAGAACCCTGGGTACCCATCACAGACCGTGAGAGAGAATCCGGGTACCCATCACAGACCGTGACAGAGAACCCGGGTACCCATCACAGACCGTGACACAGAAATTGTAGTTATAAAGCATCAGATATACGGTCAGCTACAAATGTGTCGTAAGGAAATGCAACAAAAGGATTTCCATTTTATTAGTAACAATAGGTCCATCGTGTTTCACATTTTTAATCCCGCAAGGGATTGCGCTAACAGCTTTTTTTTTGCTAATATTTTTTTTATCGACATCCAAATCTATCTTTGTCCTTCCACATTAAAGAACTAACAAGGAAACATATGAAAGTGATAAATCGCTTTTGAGCCGGAACCTAGTGGACAATAGGCAATCGACTACGCTGAACCCAAATATCAAGTTCTCCCATGCTGATAGGCATTCACAGATCCGAGGATCTAGAAAACCGATTTACTGCAGCAAAAACATTTTTTCTTTTGTTCCGATTGTAGGATCATCGAATGATGTATAAAAAAACATAATTTTCGCTATTTTGAAACCAGTGTAGAGCTCGTAATAACACACGAAAGTTTTAAGTGGCAGTAACTTATCATTTTTTATAATCTACATCAATGAGACTTTATGTCTGTATTAACTTTTATTTTGTCCATTTCAGATGATTAATTATGAGGGTGTGAGTGTGAGCATGAGGTCTTCTCTTCGATAATGCCCACATCCTATTATCTACTAGATTACAGCTCTAAAGCAATTTATCACTTGTATACATTTTCTCATAAGTAACATTAGATTATTATAGATTGATAAATATTTAAAAAATGCTTTTAGAATTTGAATATTCTATGTTTTGTTTTTAGCTACATATATTTCTTATGTATTAATGAAATATTCTTACATACTTTTATCACAAAGAAGACCACCATATAAAAATGAACAGGAACATTTGAAACCTGACAGTGTATTAACACAATGTCCATGTTTACCACAAATAATATTTGCAAAACAAAAATCAAGTACTATATTACAAAGAAAATAAATGTATATATATATATATGTATTTCATTTGTTTAATAGTAAAATTACAAACCATATTCACATATATGATGATATTTAATATTAAGTTCAACATCACTTAATAAACAAACAGTTTTATTTGATAAAATATATGTTGTTAGAATATAAACAGTTGAATTATCATTCAAAACATTTGAATCAATATGATTACAAACATTATGAATATCTTCGATTTTTTGAAATTCATCATTTTCATCTGATGAATCAAGATCATCATATTCATATTCATCATTATCATTATTAACAATTAAACTAACATTTGTTGTTGTCTCATTTGATTTGTATTGTTTTACTTTTTTCGAGCGTCTCATTATATGTAAATCAATTGAATTTAATCGATTGATGATTCTTGCTGTTAAATTTAGATATTTCATATGTATTGTATGAAATTTTTGTTTCATTTGTTTCCATTGATCATGATCATTATTTAATATTTCTATGAAATTTTTTTCTAAAATAAAAATATGTTCTATTTTGTTTAAATTTTGTTCTGATAAAAAAAAAACAATATGTTTATTACTTTTAAGTAATTTTGGATCAATAGAAAACATTAATGATAATAAATTATTTCTTTTTAAAACATGAGCAACATAGAATAGTTCAACAATATTTTGTATTTGTATAAGATTGGAAAAATTAGAATGAAAATGATTACATGTATTATTAGCAGTAGTAGATGTCGATGCTAAATTTGAAAGATAATAACATGAACCACCTACATGTTTCCATCCTTTTGGACAACGAAATCGACTAACTAAAAGAGAGATTATTGAATAACGCATATCTATTATAATTTTCATTGAAGAAGTTCAATCTTAACTGTGGTTTCATAGGTTATTTTATTATTCTAACATTACAATTTGAAAGTGTTAAACTGATTTTTTTTTTACTGAAAAGATTAGTCTTGAAATTGAGAATTCCGAATATATTCATCGAATAAAATCGATAAATAATGGATAACCTAGAATATATAACAATCTCAATATTTGCTTAACCTTTTACCTCCCATAGCGGTTCCAGAAGAGCCATTGATAAAATAACTTTATAAATATAGTATTAGCCTCTCTCATATGCCAATGATGTGGTCTGATCCACCGCATGTTCTGCTCCTAAAGTAGGAGGGAATTGAACAACATCATGAGACTTGAGTTTTTTTTCTTTGACTACACTATTAAGTGGGTAGAAGCAACATATATCCCGTGCTTCAGAAATAATTGGAAAAGAAATAGTTGTGAACCAATAAAAATTAATATCAAAGAATGCATGCGTTTTTTACACATGTTGTCAAATGCGAGTCTTTTTTAGTCTGAGCCATTTTATGAACTCAGAAGAAATTTAATTCATAATAAATATTATTTCAATTTGTCATGAGTTGAAGTTTGTAATGCATATATAAACTTTGTTCTTGATTGCCTTCCATCTGCCCAATACCGGCTATATTATCAGTAGTGTGTCTGAACATGTGTAATTCGTTAAGTTATCATGAAAGTTTTGAAAGATATTCTATTCATTAGTGGGCTTCTTCATCAATTAATATCGCATAGAAATTCCAAAAGATCTCTATTGCCTATGGGTATAGAATATTTTATTTGAAACATTTCAATTTTTTTTCATTTTTTTCAAAATTATCGATTTTGAAGATCCGATATTTCAAAGATGGAGCAATGAAAAAAAAATACTCTTTTTACCAATTGATATTTCATGATATTTACTACAAAAAAGGTTCTTATCGTTTTTGAATTCGATACTTCCTTTATTTTCTGCAATATTCCTAAAAATGGCAATATTTCTGTTCACTTCCATAGTTGAGAACTGAAATTTTTTTCTCAAAAGATTGAGCGTTCAATTCTGTCAAAATCATATACAACTGAATTTGATAGAGGTAACAACAAGAAAAAATCAGTGATATCACAAATATAAAACATCAATTTTCAAAAATATTTTTTTGTTCTAAATTGATTTTCTTTGTTTTTTCTATGAGTAAAACATTGCTCGAAAGCTTCCAAGACACAATACTGTTAAAAGCACGAGCATTGAATTTCTGGTCTGTATTTGGCATAGAGTGAAACCTCTATCGGTGGAACACCTTCCTACTTTGAACATGAACGTTGTTTTTTATACTCCTGATTGTTATGTTAATTTCTCTTCAATAAACATGTTCACGTTTTTTTCTCTGCTTCCTTTTCATTATTTCTGGTTAATGAACTAAAATTACTGCTTATTTATTTGTTCTAACTGTACGTATTAGGAAAAGCAATGAAATCACAGTATCATTTTAACATTAAATGAAAAAATTCACTTATTCTATGTCCAATAGTTTAAAAGAGAAAAGAGAATATTTTAATGATTATCAAATAAATCAAAATTGGAGTATTAAAACTTGATGAATATATTCTTGGATGCATCGTACAACAACGTTTATCAAATTCACATAAATCGAGACCAAAACAATAATATGAGTCTTTATGAAATCAAGTTAAATAGTTGTTTTTTTTATCAATATTCAATGGAGAGAGATAAACAATACAGAGAGTAGTCTCTGATTACTTCACAAATATTAAAGAAGATTATATTCTAAAGCATGTTTTTCATTTTCTAGTAAAATATATGATATTACCCCATAGATGAACAGTTTACTTCTATCTCTATAAAATTCATTGGTATGCTGTTTCATAGAGAATTGAATAATGGATCGTTTGAAAAAAAAATTTAGTTCAAAATTATGGAAGCAAACAGAAATATTAAGAAAATATTGAAACCGTTATTTCTTCTAGATGAACCAATAAATTTTAATTAATTGTTATCGTAAAAAAAATAAAGTTTTAATGAAAAAATTTAATGATTTTTACTCTCATCCATAAAATATATTTCTTCATTCAAATATAATCGTAAGATTTTATGACTTAATTATTTTTTTTTATCAATTGTTCTATGGAAAATGAAAATATGCTCTTGTCGAATATTTTTCATTTAGTCATATCTCAACAACATACCAGTCTCTTCAATTTTGTCAATAATAGATGGAAATTGATTCCATAGCAATGTGATATCAGCAAGTTCGAGATTTTGTATATTGGTTGTTAGAGTACATATGGTTGGTTGTATCAAAAATTTCGTTAAGAATAAACATGTTAGTGAAAAAATCAACAATGACATATGGAAGGTGATCGTTAGTTTTGTTTTCGTGGTGAATGATTAAAATATAAAGAAAGACGAAGTAAAAAGTGTAATCGAATTGCTTGTTTTTGACTACAAATCTATTGAATAACTTGTATACACACTGTAAAAAAAAAGAACAGAAAGTAAAAGAAAAAAATAATAAATTGAGGATTTCATTCATTTTGATGTGATGCAATTTTTTATGTATCAAATTCTACTGATAAAATAATTATCTTTCTTCTTTTATAAGTCATCACGATCTAGTCATGCTTATATACTAATCAATATAGAATATTACCCAAGAGCAAGAATACTATTATGAAAAACATTATTTTTAATAATTGCTGCTAATACAAATATATTACTAATCTTTTTCAGTAGGAAAGACTGTGAGTGTGGATGCAGTTAAAAAAGAATACTCACACCTGAGACGACAAAAAACGATAATCTACACTGCCGTTTAATATAGTTTGCGATCGTAAATAGTTGTAAATTGATGTTTCGTAAGCGCAATTTTACGACTGTATTTTATCGTGGTTCACATAGTTGATAACGGTCGTCAAACGGTCTAATAATAGAATATCCAGCCGTTTACAATACAGTGAGATACAATCATAAGACTGTGCCTGCCAAACGACGAGAAACCCTCTAAAACGGACGTTTAGGGTTGTAATTTTTTGACCTAGGTATTTAACCACCAATGGCTCTATGCTACGATGTTCTTATGGTTTATGTCATCGTAATGATTTATTTTCCACTCTTTTGTGTATTCAAATTCATTTTTTTTCTTAATATGAAAGCCTTCCTAATTTGTTTGCTACGTTTCAAAAATCAATCGATAGTTTTTATCGATCTATGTTCAACACTGTTTGGCGCGGTTTCTGAAAATGTGTAGTAGACATGCTTCGGTCAAGCTAATATGGGTTCAATCATCCAGCTAATGAAAACTGAGAGAGTTTTTTTTTAATGTTGAATTCATAAACATGAATGTACAAAAAACGGATTAGAATGTGGAGTTTTCAAGTTTTCGAATGCTTTTGATTTTTCATACGTTTTAGAGAATTTTTTATTGATTCTTTATGCTTCTGTAGACTTTACGATAAGACATATTCACCTTTTGTCTTCTTTACCATTGAATCCTCAAACATTCCAACTTGCTATCTTTACTATAGTTATAAATTATCAGCAGTCACGTTTATTTCTCTCATATGTTACAGCCACAAAAATGGCGAATAGTAACGCATCTGGAACTTTAAAAAAAATACTATCCATGTACATCAATCTTTTTGAAGACGCATTCTTACATTTAATAAGGTTGACGTGCGTCATAGTTATGTCATCATAAATTTCACTTCGGTGAATGACAAAAGACAATAATCGATCGTTAGACATGGATCAGAAGGTAAAAAGCATGCGGCAACTTTAGTCTTGTGAAATTCACATATTTTCGAAGAAAATACTCAATGGAAGTTTTTAGTTGAAGTTTCCGGCTCTCCCTCGTCTCTCTATAGCAGAGGACTCCTTTCTCAGAGTTGCTCACCAACGGCAAAATGAGCTGAACGGAATTAACCTATATGGTGTTGACTTTTCTAGAATGTTTCACAAACTTCTTCGAACTTTGAATGACTGGCATACGTTTGTGAAAGTTTGAAATAGTGCAATTTTTTATTTTTCCATAGGTAAAAATTTATATTCAAGATATCAATGATGATGATGATGATGAGTAGTGATGCATTGATTTGCCACAATTTTTATAAGATCAACTTAAAAAGCATGAACTAATCAGGTTATAACTTTGAAAAATAATTAATATCAATGTTTGTAAGCTCATCAAGATATATAATAGTACGCTGAAACCGGCTGCGGTAGATGTAATGGATAATGTACAACAGGCTTGTTTGCCAATTAAATCAATGCTTATAGTAATAAAAATGCTAAAATTTAAAAAGAAACAAGATACGAAAAGGAAAAATGACGAGCGAATAACGATGCGGCAAAATCAAAAAAAGAGTATTCGTAAAAAGAAAGAGAAAAAAAATTTCCGTTCGAGATGCAGAAATAAATAAGAGAGATCATATGTCCGACGATCGATTGCTTTGAAAAAAATTATAGTTTGTGAGATTTTTTACGTTATGTATTTTTGTGTCAGTATAATGAGACGAAAGAACACATGACAGTTTCACATTTCAGTAGCAAACGGGCTGAGTTAACAAGTTCTTTTTTTTCAACGTTATTTCTTCTAGATTTTTTTGATAATTCAAATCATTCACCTTGTTGTTTCGGATAATTCTGCAGGAAAATATGGATTCGCAACCGTCCGACGATCTAAATAAAATATATCAACTTAGTGAAGACATCATGGAATCTGGGGCGCGTATAGCTGTAATAATGTACAATAAACAGAAGAATGGTTCAAAGATTGAAAAGATGCGTAATTACCGTATCGAAAATCTACAAGAGCATATAAACAGGTTGACATTGTTGCGACGTTATGAAATAATGAGAGTTTATTCAGATATCAATCGTAAGAGCATTTGGACACCAGTGCCATCATTATCACCACTTTCACAACCATCAGATGCATCAACTACTCAATTACGATCACCATCACTGTCACCTCAAACAGTTGAATCACATCCAGTGTTACCATCATCATCAATGGAGAACATGGAACAACAAACGATGTCAACAAGAAAAACAGATATTTGAGTAATTTTAAAAAGTTGAAAAAATATCATGAAAAAGAGAAAGAAGTAAATTTTTTCTGCGAATAAAATAGTTTCGAAGATTGATGGAAGAGATACCCTAGTGGAAGTACTCACCTAGAGAGTACTCAAAAAGTACTCACGCTAGAAAATGCCGCGAGTACTCATGAGTACTCGGGACTTTTGAGTACTCGTCAGTCGTCCTCATGATGAGTTTCGAGTATATGAGTACTACACATCCTTACTTTCATGGCAGTGTATTCTGGTTGAGTACTACGATCGGTCATTTCTTATACTTGGTAGCAACTAGACTATTTAAAGTCCGAGTTTGTTGCCCTTTGAGGGCTTCGTAGACTCTGGATAAGTCCGCTTCTCTGCAGCGCCACAGTCACAGAAGGAAATTATCTTGTTAAAATTATGAACTTATCGTCCATAGAAAGTCAGCGCACGATATCTTCTTCGTCCTTACACATTTCATTTTATATATTGAGTCTTTTCAGAAAAAAAGACCACGAGTACTACAATGAGTACTCAGGGTCTTGGCTATGAGTAGATGCGTAGTGGGGGATTCGTCTGAGTACGTATGTGAGTACTCGGTCATTTTACATACTCATGAATTTTTGAGAGTACTCGCTCGAGTTATCTGAGTACTCATGCTGGCAAGTCGTACTCTCTAGATGAGTACATTCACTAGGGTACACCGTCTGAAATCTGTTGCCCTTAATTTAAAAATACAATAACAAATCGTGTATTCATGAAGTATACCAGCAATTCTGTTTTAGAATAAAACCTAATCGACTCACCATAATTAAAAAGAAATCACGAATCGATAGCGAAAAAAAAAACTAAATATAATATTTCTTTCAAATAGTTGAAAATCATCCACAAGCGCATATCAATTCAGTATAACCATCTTGAACAGCAGATGAAAATAAAATATTACAACAAGCTCATACATATTGCTTGAGTTTTTTCAGAGATATTCATATAGATTTTTTTCTCTGAATCTCAGCGACATCTTTCAGTGTTTTATTTTCTTTATTTATGCCATATGTGAAGATGCTAAAATTCTTCTGCAGGATGGGGGTGTGGGTATGTGTCGTGTGTGAATATCGATCTTGTGATCACTCACACCCACACACACTTATACCCTCATAACTGGGCTTATCTGTCAAGACAAAGATCACAAGTTCTATTTTTTAGTCGTCGAGATATGGTCGAGTCGCATTTGATCATGTTCGATTGAAACTTAATTCATCGGTGCATTCGTAGCTCACGCAAATCTTCGATGAACATCCGGGCTTTGACTCTGTTTTTATTCTCCGATCTCGTTCGATATTCAATTTCCATTGTGGAATTTGCTCAATTATTTCTGCTTGAGAATGAATCGTACACAACTGATTGTTTGATGTGCTTGTTCAATCTTTTCATTTGATCGAAATATATATGCAGATCTAATTCTATCCGACAAAATCTCTTTCATTAACACGAGTGAATGACGTGAGAGTCGCTATACTTCGAATCTCACAAAGATCTGTTGTTTTTGTTGTGTCTTCATTTGAAGAAATTGGAAAACAGAAAAAGCAAAATTTTTGCAAGGACACTAAAAAGAAAAATTTGAAACTTCCAGTTGGCAAACGGATCGAATGATCGATTCTTAGTGCTAAATCTATTTTGTTCTTTTTCTCTATTCAAATTATTTTTAGCAACAACATATCTGAAAATGCTTTTCTCTAATCTCCTGTTTTGAGTAAAAGATGGCACTAATTATGAATATCATCATGATGATTTTCTTTTCTCAAAGGCAGAAAAGTGCATTCATTTGTTGAATGGCAGTTCGGCCCACCTGTGGTGTTTTTT